TGCTGTGCTCTGGTGATGGCTTGATTGTGCCGCCAAAGCTTTATGTACCAGAAGCTGAGTCCGCAATGAAGTGGTGTGCTGGTGTGGGCATGGTGGGCCCTTAAGAAGTGGGGCCTCCTCAATGTGGCTAGGTCACCAGGACATGTTGCCCCGGGAGAGATGGTTATTTGCATGAAATCTCATGGAGATCCATGATAGCAAGTTACTGTAAAGAGGAAACCTGGCCTTCCCCTCTCCCAGCTTCCTGTTTCATGTTGTATCTTCACGTTTCAATGGAAGCCCTTCTCAGAGCCAAACAGAGGTTGGCACTAGGCTCTTGATATTTTGTAAACAACTGACACAGTATGAATACAAAAATCGATAAATGTTAATATAGAATCAAGACACAATGCTCTGGGGCAGAAAAGTCAGAACTACACGCTGAAGTGACCATGCTGTCAGTATTCTTCTGAGAAAGACTGCTTCTAATACACTAATCTTATGACACCATAGTTTTTCCACAATACTAAATGCAAATTTTTTTTTTGTCTCAACTTTCTAGAATAATAAATTTTCATTTTTTGAAAGATTGAAACTAAAGGATTTATTTTGGAGCCTTTCATTTGTATAGTTTTTTGTTCAATTTTTATTTTTTTATGAGGGCATGATTGCAGTATGTAATGATCATAGTTTTAACCACAAAGGCATTGTGTTTGTTGGAGACTTTAAATTGTTTTATTTTTATTTTTATTTTATTTTATTTTTTGTATGTTACAGAAGGGTCTACAAGATATTCAGGGTTTTACTATTAGATCGGACTCACAGTGATTCTCCTATTTACTGCCTCCCAAGAGCTGGGTTTTTTTTTAAACAGTACATTAGTAATAGCAATTATTAAAGTACTAATTGTTACATTTAACCTTAAACTTCATTGATGTTAGGATTTATATTGATAAAAAGCAACTTTTAGAGATACTGACATATGTCTGCTGGAGAGTTACTTTTAAAAAACTTATTAAAAACTTTACTACCCTGGGTAATTTTATTCTTGAATTGAATGTATTTGAATACATAGCATATTCTGGCAGATATTCCTTTAAAAACTCGTGTAAATATGAAAGCTTGCTTTCGTAACTATTTTCTTTGCAATCTTAGTGAATTTGAGAGTTTTATTCAACATTTAAATGTTACATGTTTTCCTGAGTGATTGAAAGAAAATAACAATGCTGAGCTCTGGAAACTCACATGCTAATGATCTACTTAAGCCCAATTTATAGATTCATAAAACAGCATGCTAAACCCATGCCTGGAGGAATGTGCAGGGTGTGATGGCAGTGCAGAGGGTAGCGACCTCATCCCTCCCGAGAACAGAGAGTGAAAATACTTCTGGGACTAAGTGTGGTTGAGCCACACAGTCAGAGAGGAGAACTCCATCACAGACAGGTTGGAAACATGATGGCAGTTGGTGGGAACTGAACACATTTCCAGTCAACTCCAGTCCAAGTACATGCAGAGCTTAGGCTAGAGAAGTAGGCTGGGACATAAGGGAGATTCCATCATTTATTGATAGACTTTATTTTGTAGAACAGATTTAAGAAACAAATTAAGAGATTTCCCGTCTGACCCTGACCCCATACATTCAAAGCCTTTCCCGATAACAATATCCTCCATTAGAATGGTAATGAAGTAATTGATAAACTATCAGGTATATCTTTTTTACCCAAAGTTCATTGTTTCTATTCATGTTTACTCTTGGTGCTTGGGTTGGTTACTTTTCTCTCATTGCTGAGACAAAACGTCTGGTACCCAAGGTTAAAGGAGGAAAAGTTTATTTAGCTCACAGTTTTGGAGATTTCAATCCATAATCAGCTGGTTCCAAGGCAGGCTGGCATGGAAGAGGGGCAAGAGTTCATGGTGGCAGAAGACAGAAAAATCAACAAGAGCCAAAAGGGAAGGATTGAGTAGCTTATTTTCCTCTCTTAGACTCTATACAGGGTCCTTGCCCCAAGGTAGGAGTAGCACTCACACCTTTAATCCCAACAGTAGACCATGACTCCACCACAAACTTTAATTACCCATTCCATGAAGATTTGAAGGTTCCACCTAGAAACAAATGATAGGTGTTGAGTATTCCATGTATCTAGAAAAATGTGTATGTATACATCCACAATTATAGTATTATAAAGAAGAGTTTACTAGCTTAAAAATTCTGTTTCTTTTATTCATCTCTCCCTCAACCACTGCCAAGCATTGATTGTTTTAGTGTTTCCATATTTGTCTTTTCTAGAATATTATGTAGTTGGAATCACACAGTATGTAGCCTTTTGAGGTTGGCTTTTTTATTTAGTGATGTGCATGATGTGTCTCCCATTTCTTTCCATGACATCATATCTCATTTTTAGTGCCTAATACTATTCCATCATCTGGATCCATCACAGATTATCCATTTACTTAATAAAAGTCATCTGGGTTTCTTCCAAGTTTTGGGAATTATGAATAAGCTACTCTAAATATCTATGTTCAGACTTTCTTGTGTGGACATGTATTCTCATCTTAATTGGAATACCTGAATATAGTTAAAGGATCTAATCGTGAGAATATTTTTAATTTTGTAAGAAGCCACCATTGAGATGTCTTTTCTGTTCCTAAATGAATACTGGGTATACTCCTTCCAATCTTCACCAGCATATGGTGTTGTTAATGTTTCTCATTTGAGCTGCTCTAGTAGGCACATGGGGTATGCAGTGCCTTAATTTGCAACCCTATGATACACATGGTGTTGGCTGATGTTCATTATCGTATTTACCATCTGTGTATCTATTTTTAGTGGGATATCTACTGAGCTACTGACCCATTTTAATCAACTTGTTCATTTTCTTACTATTGAGTTTTAAGATTACTTTTGCCCTTTGGATAGTAGTCTTTCATCAGATAAAGGCTCTTGTAAATGTTTTCTTCTGTTTTGTGGTTTATCTTCTAATTTTCATGATAGATGTCGAGAAACATAAGGTTTACATTATTCTAGTAGTCATCAATGTGTGCATTTGTATTTCCATAATTTGCAAACACATATTCTTATGAGAAAATATTGTAGGAATTATTTAACCATTATGAAAAACTAAAGGGTATAAAAATGAAGAAATAGGTAGTAGTTTAAAATGACTACTTTAGTTGGGATTCTTTGTCGTAAACTGCAGAATCTACCTTGGTGTATTTTAGGAAGTAGATATTTTAGAAGACTTTAAATCTCAGGGATAAATGAGAAATCAAAGTCTTTGTAGGATGTGAGAAAAGCATATCCTCAGGTTTTGCCACCTTCCGTGATTGCCTCTGACACTTAGAATTGGAAACTGGGTGCCTGCCATTGCTCAAAGGAAAGTAGTAAGTGAATCTGTGGACTGATAGATGAACTTGTACGATTCTGCCACGTTACATTGGTGTCTACTCTGTGACTCCATGAATGTGATTGTAGATAGGCTCTGTGTTGGGTGCCTTGTCTGCCAGTAAGGGACTCTAGGAATGGAAAGCTTGTGTTATACTTTAGAGTCATATAGCTCATTATGTGAGAAATTATCTAAATAAGATTTATGGGCGGCATGCAATAAATTTAGGCAGCCATGAGTAATAGATATTTGTTATAGTACAAAATACTCTTTTACTCACATTCAAAATATAGTTATTATCGATAATACTTTGATTTATAAATGTCTGCTAGGTATGATATTTTATACTGTCGGTAGATAAAATCTTCAATAAAATATACATCTAAGAAGAAATATTCATTAATGACTGCTATAAATTCAGTTTTTATTACTTTTTAAATTTAGCTTCTCTGTGATTGTTATATACCTTTGCTATTTTCCATGTACTTAATGATACGGTCCATAACATTCTTTCAGCTTATCACTCTCTGTGGTTTGTTTATGCTTTCATTTTGAATGCTTTCTTCATTCTGGGGTTTTAGGGGAGGTTCTTATCCAACATGGCCATTGTATGACGCTTAGTTTTGTCATATACAATATCTATATTTAGTGCTGGAAAAATATATTTTAAAGGACAACAAATAAGTGGTGTTTATCACAGCAGCTTGAGATGAGAACCTGTAGCCCAGTCAGCAGACGAGAAGGCTGCTGCCCTCCTTTTTGTACAGTAGAGTTCCAATTCTCCTCCAGGTTAGCGTATTTACTCTTCATTATTTCTACATAATTTAACATGCTGCCTAAATAAAGTTGTACATGTCAGCCTGCACATGCACAGTACTATAGCCCATTTTATTTACTTGTGTTTAGATCAAAATAAAAAACGTATAAATTTCAGATATTTTACACTTCAAATGGATTTATTTGAGAACTGTGAGGGAAAAGGGACACAGTAACTGGGACAGGAGTTTTGAAAGAGTGTAAGAGTGCACTGTCATGTCCCAACATGAATTCTTGATCACTGGCCCAGACCTAGCCAGTGAAGCCGTAATGGCAAAGACTGTGAGGAGCAGACAGCAGCCATTAAATATTACTCTCAATTACCAGAAATGGCAGGAGAGGTGACATATTTGAATGACTTTCAATATTTAAGACTTAGTGAATGAGTGGAAATAGTTACAAGGTAGGAAAAAGAATGAAGAATGACTGGCTGGTTCCTAACCACAGCATGGGCTTTTCATTTCTTTGAAAAAGAATTAATTCTTATCTGCTTTATGACCCATGATTGCTTTTCCAGGGAAAACAAAGTATTCAGTGTGTTATTCTTTCCTGATAACATGAAATATCTGTCTCATTGTTTTCATTCATCCCACAAATATTGCCCTAGACGTGAGATTTGCCTCAGACACTGGTTCTTTCTCGGTAGTAGATAATGTCATTTTCAGATACCATTTCCCAAAAGGGAAAGAGTAATGTCTCATTGTAAGATTTTTTTTTTTTTTGAGTTGTTTGACTTTCTAATAGATAAGAGCTGAACAGTAATGGCAGGGCTGTGCACTGCAGGCCTGTGCTTGGCTCATGACTCTGATATCTTGCCTTTAGCTGGGATGACAGCAGCTCTGTGAGCAGTGGACTCAGTGACACCCTCGATAACATCAGCACTGATGACCTGAACACCACATCCTCAGTCAGCTCTTACTCCAACATCACTGTGCCCTCCAGGAAGAGCACTCAGGTGACAATGGCCCTCTTTTTGTTTCTACTGCTTCTACTGGTTTCTTAGCCCAAATTAATCTGCATTGGCTTAAGTTGTAGCATAGCTCCATAATCCCTCAAAGTGTGTAAGGCTGCTTTGTGACATGGTCTCACTTTGTCACCCTGGGCCTGGAAGAATTTCATTTTAGTCTTAACTCATGTTGTAACACTCACTAGCTATAATTGTACATGTCAGACTGTTTTGATCATTGAAAGATTATATATATATATATATATATATATATATATATATATATATATATATTTACACTATGATTCACAGAGACTGGTGTTGGCCTGTATCTTCTGGTATTGATATATTTGCTTTAAATATATGAAAATTATTTTGATAACTTTACATTATTGATTGATTTTGTATTGATTTCTGAAAAAAATAAACCATCTCTATGTGAATTGTTAAATCAAGAATCTACAATAAATAATTAAGCTTTATCTTGTTATAGTGTTGGTTACTTTTTGTTTGTTCACAACAAGGTCTTGCTGTGTAATACAGGCTGGTCTTGAACTCACTTCTGGAGCCCAGGCTGACTTTGGGAAATCCTGCTTCTGCCTCCCAAGTGCTGGGATTGCTGGAATGCACCCCCCCCACCCCACCAGCTACATCATTACTTTGAACATAGAAAATTTCATTCTCTCCAGAGAGTTTCATTAAAGAATTCTGCACATATTTATCCTGACATTCCTTAATATGCACAAGTGAGAATTATGTGGCTGAAATTAATGAAACCTAAATGAAGACATTGATTGTCTGAGGAATTATTTTGAAGCATAAATCAATCCCTCTTTTTTAAATCTTAAATCATTTGTCTGAAAGTGTATTGCAGTATGAAACTTACACTTCACAATTTTCCTATATCAGGGTTTTTCTGAACCATTTTTTCTTTGTAGCCAAAGACAGATTCAGAGAAACGTTCAACAGCAGAAGAGACCTGGGATGGTCCCGAGGAGCTGAAAAAAACAGAAGAGGATTTTGACAGCCATGGTGATGGTGGTAGCAAGTGGAAGAGTGGCTCCTCCGCCGGTGTCCCCGAGGAGTCAGAGAAGGCCGGGCAGAAAGCCTCCCTGGCTGTTTCGCAGACAGGCTCCTGGCGGAGAGGCGTGTCTGCCCAGGGCAACACTCCGGCCAGACAGAAAGCGGGAACCGGTGCGCTCAAGACCCCTGGTAGGCCTGTCGCTCGACACCCGCCTCACCAAGTCCTTTCAATCTAGAGTTTCCATTCAAGATTTGTCTTCACTTCTAAGAAATCTATTCATTCATTCATTCATTCATTCATTCATTCATTCATTCATTCACTCATTTATTTTTAAAATTAGGTTCTTCTCCATGAAGTTAAGTAGTTCTTTAAATCTAAATTTCACACACTATATCACATTAGTTCACATAAGTACAACAGTGTAGACATTTTTTAGAGAGCACCCTGAAAATTCAGGGCTCCTGTATGTCCTATGTTGTGGTCATTTCTGGCCTTGTGAGAGTAAAACAGGGCTACTAACCAAGCAATGCAAGCCTTCATTTGTTTCTACATTTGGGAAAGCTTGCAATCTTTATGTTCCTTATGCTACTGAGTTTCACCACAAACTCTGGGTAAAAAAAGCACTCAGTCACACTGACAAGGGTTGAGAATGCTGTTCATTAGATGATTCCCACAAATAAAAATACTGCTATCCAAAGTACAGACATTATGAATTGTTTCTAATGTAATCATCTTATAGGTATTTAAGTAGCAAAATTAAGTATTTTATATCCTTGATCTCTCATTATATTTCCTCAGACGCCCAAATTTTTGTAACTACCCACTCAGTCATCTTCCTACTCTGGGATATGTGCCCAGTTAGATTCAAAGCAACTGATGTAGAAATTTTAGCCACTTAAAGATGGATTCACATTTTATACTTTGTTTAGGAGGTGGTATTCTGATATCAAAATATGCAGGCACATATGTTTGTGTATTTATCATTAATTAGGGAAAACAGATGACGCCAAAGCTTCAGAGAAAGGGAAAACTCCCCTGAAAGGATCATCTCTACAAAGATCTCCTTCAGATGCTGGAAAAAGCAGTGGGGATGAGGGGAAAAAGCCCCCATCAGGCATTGGAAGGTCGACTGCCACCAGCTCTTTTGGATTTAAGAAGCCGAGCGGAGTTGGGTCATCTACAATGATCACTAGCAGTGGGGCAACCATCACAAGTGGCTCAGCAACTCTGGGCAAAATCCCCAAATCTGCTGCCATTGGCGGGAAGTCCAATGCAGGGAGAAAAACCAGTCTAGATGGGTCCCAGAACCAGGATGATGTTGTACTGCATGTGAGCTCGAAGACAACCCTGCAGTACCGCAGCTTGCCCCGCCCATCAAAGTCCAGCACTAGTGGCATTCCCGGGAGAGGTGGCCACAGGTCCAGCACCAGCAGCATTGACTCCAATGTCAGCAGCAAGTCGGCTGGTGCCACCACCTCCAAGCTGAGAGAACCGACAAAGATTGGGTCGGGGCGCTCCAGTCCTGTCACCGTGAACCAAACAGACAAAGAGAAGGAAAAAGTAGCAGTCTCTGATTCCGAGAGTGTTTCTTTATCAGGTTCCCCCAAGTCCAGCCCCACCTCTGCCAGTGCCTGTGGTACCCAAGGCCTGAGACAGCCAGGCTCCAAGTATCCAGATATCGCCTCACCTACATTCCGAAGGTAAGGACATGTAAAATGATGCTGGGAAACTATAAAAGGATGTGTATGTTACATCTATCGGATACATGTAAATGAATATCATACTCTAAACATCTGTAAACTAAGTTAAATGTATTTTAAAATGTGTTAAAATACAGAGTGTTCTAAGATCAGATAAGTAGCTAGCTCAAACACTGGTCCTCATTTTGAGAAATGGTGAGACTTTAAGATTTCACTGTCATTATAATATTAACAGAAAAACAGCATATGTGAGAAACTTAAAATCACATGGCAGTACCCACAGCTAGTGATTAAACAATGTGGTAGCTTCTACAATTTCAGTTGACTTCCATTCCTCATTCCCATAATTGCTGAACAATGCAAAGGAGGTCTTTATGGCTATTGACATTTGTCTCTAGTAATTCTTATCTCTCTGGCTCTTAGTGCATTGATGTTCATGAATATGGTTGAGGCTGTGCTCCTTTAGGTGGGTTAAATTGGCCAGATTTATTATACCATCTCATGACATATGAAAGCAGAGCAGATTATGATCTGATTGACAGAATTTGAAATCTCCTGGATGGCTAAAACATGATAAGAGCTAGGTTTTGTAGCTCTCCGTAGGTTTCTTTGCCAGGACTTGCATCTGGTAAGCAACCGGATTGGCTTCTGTACTAGGTTTATCTTTAGTAGTCAAACATATGAAGCCAAAGACTTTGAACAGATAGCAAAACATTTCTGAGTCTGTTTTCTCCTCTATGAAGTGATAGTGCCTGGCTTATACCTCAAGACCTGTTCAACATTTAATGTTTAGTTTTATTCTGCTGACTACGGCAAGAACTATGTTATCTTGGAAATTAAGTGTCTTAAAACATTCACTCCTAGAGTCAAACAATGTTATATATTGTTATTTGAAAATATAGAGCTTTTATGCCTCAGTACAAATGTTAATCCTGAAAAACTATTTGAAACATTGATTGTCATTGTGAAGGATAAATTAGGTATTTCAGTGGGTGTAAATATTTTTGTTGTGTAAGTAAAAGCCAATAGTGCCCTCCTGTGGCCCATTACCTATGAAACAATTTCTCATATTCGTCAAAATATTTCACTGTAGGAAATATGGATTTCATTGCAATTGAATTAGTAGTCATGCCATTGCTTCATATCACTATTTCCATATTTACATGAATTTGATTGTATCATCTACTTCATTTACAAAACTAAAATGTTTTCTGAACTAAACTCCAATATCTGACTTAGCACCTGCTATATTTCAAGCCACTCTTTTCAGTATGCTTTTGAATAGCACTGGCAACTGATGTAAAGCCCTCTGTCCCTTCCCGGGAAAATGTGGACAAACACCCACGTTGCCAATGTTTCCAACCAGCTTCCCAGCAGTCTCCCCCGCCACCCAGTGGTCAACATGACTTCCTTAACCTTGCCTTAAGCACTTATTTTTTCTTCAAGATTTTTAATCAACAGTTAAGAAAGGAAAAAAGACAAAGAGAAAATTACACTTCAGTTTTCTACATCGAATGCGCAGAAGTTGTTTCATTCTAATGGTTCTTTAAATAGGTGACCACAAGAATGGTCCTAAGATATGAATAAAATATTCGTATAAGTGCTTCAATTGTGAAATTCAGGGACTGTCATGTTCCAACTTGTCCTCTTCTCCCCACCCCTGGGTAGCAACACAGCACCAATTTACCCTTGATACTAGACGGTCCAAGCTTATGCGTTCATTAACAGAGACAGGAAGTGCGTGGCGGCTCAGTGCGCCAGTGCACCCTTGGCTCTGCTTACCCTTACTCTGAGTATTACATGTGGATATCAGTTTCGTGGAACAACTGAAGTTGTTATTTGTTTTTCTTTTAGGTTGTTTGGTGCCAAGGCAGGGGGCAAATCTGCCTCTGCACCTAGTACTGAGGGGGTGAAATCTTCCTCAGTAGTGCCCAGCCCTAGTACCACATTAGCGCGGCAAGGCAGTCTGGAGTCACCGTCGTCGGGGACGGGCAGCATGGGCAGTGCTGGTGGGCTGAGTGGCGGCAGCAGCCCTCTCTTCAATAAACCCTCAGACCTAACGACAGATGTTATAAGCTTAAGTCACTCTTTGGCCTCCAGCCCAGCATCGGTTCACTCTTTCACATCAGGTGGTCTGGTGTGGGCTGCCAATCTGAGCAGTTCCTCTGCCTCTGCCGGCAGCAAGGACACTCCGAGCTACCAGTCCATGACTAGCCTCCATACGAGCTCGGAGTCCATTGACCTGCCCCTCAGCCATCACGGCTCCTTGTCTGGACTGACCACAGGTGCTCACGAGGTGCAGAGCCTGCTCATGAGAACGGGTAGTGTGAGATCTACTCTCTCAGAAAGGTGAGCTTCCCTGCAGGCATCCATGGAGTCCTCACCCCTCCTTCCCTGCACTCTGCCTTGCCCCTGCCCCTCCCCCATTAGAGTCCCTTGATTTCAGTGTGAGAGCCAACGTGCACAGCAACAAAAGACTGAAAGGAAATGCGATGACAAAACTGGGCTTGGTGCTTACTCTTATTAACAAGTTTGCGGAGGACTAGAACCGTGGGAGACAGGATGACTGGATTACTTACACTCATTGCCAGCAGGCAATTTGAATAGTACTTAAGTCATGCATTTATAAATCAAATGCTGTCTTCTCAGGTTGTCTTAATAATTTGGCTTGAATACTAGGCTGACACAAGCTCCTTATCATAATTTGATCCTTTTCTGAAAAAAATAATTAAATGCATTCTACCATTGTACTTTGACTGCTGTGTTAAATGTGCTTTATTTGCACTTCTATAAAAATAACAGATGAATCACTGTGGGAAGGGGATCTTTATTGAGGTGGGGAAAAATCAGTTTTCAGCCACGCATTCTTAGAGAAAATTTTATTCCGGTGTCATTTTAATAGGTGTCTTGAAAACTGATCTTATAACAAGAGTATCCATTGATTTTGCAATTTCTTAAACCTAAAATAGAGAATGTAATGCACCATTCTTACCTAATATATGTACTTATGGGACAATATCACTGTCGTATAGGATGAATCTAGATTCATGTCCCCCTCCAAAAAATCCTTTCTTACATAACTGAGAACAGAACCTAACTCCAGGAAAATGTCTTCAAGCTGCCACCTTTTTACTGAAAATTTTAATATTTTTCTTGGCATGCAGAAAGCTTGCATGAGTGGTCTTGGCCACGCGTCTTGATCGTGTTCTTCGAGAAAAGCATTGCTAGTTCCCCAAAATGGTGACAGCTTCCTGTAAACCCTTCTCTGATGTGGAGGCTGCAGTATCTCCTATAGTCTAGATTTCCAGCCTTCCTCCTCAAATATTTCTTTTAAAATATCAATTAAGCCCTTACCTACATAGGTTTACAGTACATCTGCTGGGCTTGAACCTAGGGGCTCCCACTGCTCTCTCCCCACTTTCTAGTATGTATTTTCTCTAACAAGGCTGGGCCTAGACAAATATGACAAACAACTGGGTGATAGAAGGTGCAGTGCATGCATCTTCTTTTTACATTTGCTGTTAGAGACAACATGTAGAAAGCCAGCAATTGAATTTTTTAATCAAAAATATTACACTTCCTAGAGCCCTTGAGATTCTAATTTCAGCACTTTGAAAGGGCATGTGCATTTTCATCTGTCACATATAAAATAAATTACGTTGAACCTATATTAACAATTTTAATAACTGAGCCTTTATTGTATATTCAGATGTGAAGAATCCAAGTAGCAAGTTGGAAATCAAATCAGGCATGCTAAAAGCAGTATCATTCACTTTCCAGAACTAACCTCCAAAATAGTTGGGTTGTTTTTTTTTTTTTCCCAAATCATAAAGATGACTGCAACACGATGTCCCTCTAATCATCAAGCAATGCTTCAGCCTTCAGATATAAGGGCTCCAAAATAGTCAGGCATCCAGTTATAACCAAGTAATGCCTAGATCAAAACTAAATGTTAAGATTGATAAGTTTCATATCTGTAAATGAAATGCGGTTTTAACATTTTAATCTGATCTATATCTTAGCCGAAGCCTGTATAAATTTCTACTATACAAATATGCTAATAAATACACACTGCTTCTAAGCAAATCTATTTTTTAAACAGTTGTTCCATCTTGGAAATAGCCCAATTTTACAAATGAGGACAACTTCATGTTATTCTAATTAAATAAAGACTTTTTCTAAAATATACTTTAAATTTTTCTTGTAAAATTTTTTTCACTTTGATTTTTAATATGTAGTATTATTAAAATTAAGCAGTATAAAGTAAATGTGCATAGGTATAATGTCAAATAAAACTACTAATTCATACCTCACAGCAATATATTGGATTGAAATAACTTTTGTTTTAAAAAGTTGTACACTTTCATTTTTTAAGCACATGAATGCAAGCAACAGCAGCTTGTTTTCAAACTTTAAAGCAGATTAAGGAAGTTTATGACCCTTTTAAAAATTTACATGTATAGAAATTGATGATCCTGCCTTAATTAAATTTACTTTGCAGAATAAAGGGAATGGTACTGAAATTAATGAGTCATATTTGGAAAAGTGTGTTAAAGTATAATTATTTAAAACAAAATAGGGCCTCCCAAACAGCTCAGCAGATTACAGCACCTGCAAACAGGTGCAAGGGCAGGGGATTCAATCCCCGTGCCGGGCCCACCCCTGGGGCGCGCTGAGACTGCAGTTGAGACTGGGCATGGTGGCGTGTGCCTGTAATCCCAACACTTGGGAGGCTATAAACAGAAGAATTACTACAAGTCCAACCTAGTAGTGAGACCCTGAACACCCTGTACACCCTTCCCTAAAATACAATAATAATAATGACAAATTAGGAAGAAATACTCATGGAAATAAAGATATATGTAAATTCATGCCTTCCTTTAGAATACTTTAATATTTATAGCATTGCATTATAAAAATCAGTGAATTTTCTTTCATGCAGATTTTGAATTTTACTTATTAAAAATAAATGATGAAATAATATTTTTTTTTTACAATTTTTCCTCTACAACTGCCTTAGGTCATTAGTGGTCCTTCAGCCCTAATTAGTCCACATATATTTTGCTTACTTTTTGTTTTTGTGATATAACCAAAACTTTAAAACAATAACCAGTTGTGCATATCTCTGGTTTTCATTAAATATCAAATGTGACAGATGTGTTTTTATCTATCTAGGCAAATAGGGCCTTGATTGAGTCACTCATTGATAGTACCCCAGGCCCTTACTAGCCTATGAACAGCAATCCTTGAATGTTTCCAGAAAGTTCTATATTATAAAATTATTAATATCCAGATTCATCCAACTCTACATAAATCTTTAAGTTATATTTTCATTTAAAGGTACTTTTCTGATTTTTTTCAAATTACTCAGTGACATATAAACTGTATCCTGTATCCTTTTATATAACAGGATACAGTTGGTAAAATAATACCTACTTTGAAATTTTTTCTGCAAGGTTAAGTTTAATTTCTATACAAAAAAAAGGTAATCTTTAAAGTGTCTCATGATCACATGAATATTTCAGCATAATGTAGTTTGTGTTTGGAAAAAGCTTATCACATTTTTCCAATATGTTTCTTTTTATTGGCTTGTTTATTTACACTATTAAATTATTATGGACAAAGTATAGTGGATGCTGGAAAAGGCGCTATTTAATATGGTAATTAAGTGTGCATTCTCAGTGAAGCTGCATAAAGCCTTTGGCTGCTGTCCACTGTGTGCTAACCAGTGGAGTAGGTAGAGAAGAAAACATTTTAGCTTTGAGCTTGAGTGGTTCAGCTTTCAATGTGTTTGCATCCATGTTATATCATTCACATTGTTCATATCCTATGTATTTAATTTCAATCATTTGAGATTCTGAAGAAAGAGAGCAAAAATTCAACACATTTAAATTAATTTTATTCTTTGTGTAGCCACATGTCAACAATTATAACAGAACGTAGGCTTGTCCCATTTGCTCTTGTATACCCTCTTTTCCTCTCTTGTAGAGAGGCCATTTCTCACTTAATCTAAATATATCTTTCATTCCATCTTAAGAATAGCTAACAGTTCTTTAAAATAGATATGGTAAAAGTCTATATTCCTTTCAATACCTGATTGATAATTTCTAAAAAAATGATATATTTGAATTTCATTAAGTTGTTTAGATAAATTAGTGACAGCAGAATTATCATTTTAAGAAAATTCTCATTGCATACTACATTTCTTCTCTTAGTGGGAAATAAATCAAACTTTTGATTTAAGCTAATTTGAGGACAAAAGATAGACACTGAATGATGCTCCTCATCCTCTCTGATCATCAGAAGTTGTCACTTTAATTTAGAGCAGATCTGTCATTGCCACCATTGTGATGCTTGTGAATATGAAGTTAAAGCAAAAGTCTAGTCAGTCGCACAGGCAAAGGAGAACTCCATCGCATAAGGTCAAAACAATCCAGAGACAATTCTGCTAACTGGATTTAATCTGTTTTTCAGTAATCCCATTAGCAAAGTATCAATGAATACTACTAGCTTAGAAAGAAGCTCAATGTGTATTGCAATGATGGAAATCATACTCGGGTGGCATTTTCCAATGAGTTAAGCATTTTATGTGTGTGTGACCCAAAAGCTATTGTGTGTAGTTCACAGGAACATTTTTGTTTGATGAATACTTTGAAAGTTTTGTTTACATTATGTCCTTAGGGATTTTCTTTGTTTTAACAGCATGCAGCTTGACAGAAATACACTCCCCAAAAAGGGACTAAGGTATATATTTCTCTCAGCACAATTGCTGCTTTTTTTTTCTGTTGTTATGTAAAGTTTGTGTGCTTGTCTCTCTTCTTTCTTTGTTTGTAATGTAGCACCTGGCATTGTGGATGAACCCACTAAATCTGAATGCTTTCTCTGGCCTGAGGAATTAGTGATGTCCTGTAGGAAGAGATAGCAGTAGAAATCCAGAGGTGACTCAAATTAAATTAAGTCCAGTATGAATATTACTATTTTGAAGAAATGTGACTTTTTTAAAGTCTTATCACAGGCCTTGCTTGGAAAAGGGGCACCAACCTTTGCTAGCATGCACAACTCAATTCTCCAAATTAGAATAACATTATTTCCCTAACTTTTGTACCTTGGAGACACATGCTTGTGAAACTTCAAAACCCACGTAGTCTACAGATGTAACTAGTAATGATTAAAATTGGGAAAATGCTCTAATTTGAAACAAAGGAAACATTTTTTCATCATAACAGGGCAGTACTATAAGGAAGGTATGATTATAGAACCCTTTTGCTAAAAAATACAAAGACTTATTGTTTTTCAGCTGTGCTGGTATCATTTGAATGTAAATTTGAATAAATCTAATAATATTTAATAACCTCAAAAAATTCCCAGCTCATAATAAAAAATAAAGTGGAAATTTAATTCATGGTCATATTGTGCCATTTTTTTCTGAGGGGGATATATAGAATAAATTGCTAATGATACAGAAAAAATGTTATAGTGAGTACTATAAACATAATAAACTGCCCAGTCTTTGGGAATAAGAATTTAATTACTCTGAAGAAACAGGGAGTACTGGTCAGAGTAGGACTTTCTGCATTATCCTTTCTCTGTTGAATTTGTTAACAAGAACAAAGAGTTGACAAATACTGTTTCCAAATTTGATCTAGAAAATTATTTAAATAATTCCAATAAAATAGCGCATTTCCTCTACTTCTTTAAAGCTATAGATATTATATTAAATGACGTTTTAACAAAGCACTGATTTTCCTCTGAAAAAAGCAACCAACCTGCCATCCATGAGTGTCCCATCACCTACGCCTCTCCGTGACCATCCCTCCACTCCTTTGGTTTTCGTCCTCCACTGTCTGCCGTTTTGGTCTTTGCTTTCACCCACATCATGCCTGTTCAAGCCTTGTACTTCTGGGTCCTTCTCGCCTAACTTGGATGTCTGCTCATTGCTTATGATTTTCAGTTTCTTATCTCACAGAAGCATAATTTTCCTCGCAAATGCCTCTTTTCCTGTGGGATTCAAACAGATGGTGTCAAATCATCTGGAAGAACTGAGCAATTCTAATTAGATTCAATCTGTTTGCGATTGTTGTTCAGTCTGAAGTAGTGAGTGCGCTCCTCTCAGTTGTTTTCCTGTCCTGGCATTGCCTTGCCCTAGTGGATGTGCTCAAGTATCTTAGCTGTGCTGTTTTGCAGATACACCCCGTCATCTCGGCAGGCCAACCAAGAAGAGGGCAAAGAGTGGCTGCGTTCTCATTCTACTGGAGGCCTGCAGGATACCGGCAGCCAGTCGCCTCTGGTCTCTCCTTCTGCCATGTCATCTTCTACTACAGGAAAATACCACTTTTCCAACTTGGGTAAAATATTCTAAAGTGTAGATTGTGTTTTGTTCATTTCATACCCGCTACCATGTGAACTCTGTTATTGCCCCGTAAAAATTATTTACATTGCAGTTTATAGTTCACAATAATGTATGAACATTATGTTGTTAATTATTTACAGCAAATGCTGAACACACACAGTCTTCATTGTTGTATTTTGATCTGAGATGCAGAAACTTATTTGACTTCAAAAAAAATCTCTCCATTAGTAAGTGAGAGAGGCAGGAGTCTGTCCCAGAAGACCCGAGTTAAAGCCTAGCAAACTATGCACTGTATCTTAGGAACCTCTTTAAAACCAGTAAAGCATTTCCTTATTTTTTAAACTGTTGAAACTTTTTGAAACCAGATTAATAATCATATTGTAGAAAGACAAGATAGAGAAATTATTAGAGACAAAAAGGACATGCAATGAAATGGCTGGGAGATTGCTTCCTTACAATTATTAAAATTAAACTTTCCTTAAATAAATGAGTTCCTATTTGGAAAATATTCCCTAAACATTTTTAGATAAATACAATGAAAAAAAATAAGTTGTTATGCTATCCATTGATTACTTGCTACTTAGCATCATTTTAGGAAGTAGAAAATCATTTGCATACATGTCATAGAAAACAGAGAAGAGTGACAAGACAATAAGTTTAAATATGCCAATTATAATTTAACAGATCTGTTGACTCCACAAATAGATTATCCTTTAGCTTCTATAATATCACATATGAATCAGTGTCATTATGTTTTTTTTTCTCTTTTCACTTGAAAAAGTTGTTTATAGTATTGCCTCCAAGATGGTCCATATTCTTCAATAATATAGACGTTGCAACTTTCCACCACGCGGGGCTCATCCATATTTCTTTCTGTCATAACTCTTCCAAATCAGGCTTTTCGCAATTAAAAGCAATTATTTTGGTCATGGTTTTATATGAGCTAATTAATTCTTATCACTTGCAAGTTTTCATTGCTTATTCCACACCGTGAGGAGGCTTCTTCACACTATAAATTCCAAAGGAAGCATAGATCATATTTACTTTAAGTCATAGCTACATAGCATAGCAAATAACTTTGTTTTTAACTTCAAAAAAAAAATTGAAATGTTTTTTTAAAGCTCTGGGAACATAAAACAAAATCTAATTTCATGAACTATTTGAAGCAAACCCAAATCATCTTACTTCTATAAATTTGCTAATTTTTATATCACCTATAAACTGATGTCCAAGCTGTATATCACCTATAACTGTTTTCATTAATTGATATTTGAGTAGTTGACTCCTTATGCCATTTTCCTACTCTTATTCTGTTCAAATCCTTCTTTTCAATTGTCTTTCAAGAAAAACCTCACCCTTTGTTATATCTGACCTTGTACAAGCCTGAGTTTTCTCGGTTTTCTCATGTAGTAAGTATGTCTAGGTCATATTATAAAGAGGGACTTCTAGAGTATGCACAAAAAATGAGCATTAAAAAATACAAAGGGAAGATCTGATAGACTCTGATAAATAATCATTTTATTGTAAAATGATTTTATACTCTGTGACAAAAACATTCATCAGCTTTAGGTGATCTTTGCGTCTAATTGGGTATAACTCACAATTCAATAACTACACAATTTAATGTGAAAGACATTCTCAGCTTAGAAATAAAAAAATAATATAAAACTGAAATTTGAATTAAGGCCTCATTTACCAAGAAGGTCAACTATTTGCATAATTTCTTACAAGTTTGTGTTAAAGTTATATGAACTTCAGGTAAGCTAGAACATTTTTACAAACACAATTTTAGAAATTGAGACAGCACATTGGAGAACACATTTGATTACCCATTTTTTTTTAGTGTTCAAGCACAATTAATGCAAAATGTGAATTACACATTTACAGACAACAAACTGTTTCTGTAGAACTATTTCTGTAGAATGCTGATCAGATGCACCCTATATTTTTATTGCTATGGAGCCAAGAGTCATAAAGGTCAAGCTCCACTTCCTAGGACAGCAATCTCCTGCCTCAGTCTGCTGTGCATTCTACTGGAAGCCTCACAGCAGCGTCAGTTATTATGTGAAAGCATTACCATTAACACTTTCCCAGTTCTACATAGCAGGCAAGAAACTCATAAAAAGCTCAAATCCTGTCAGCATCAACTACTCCAAACCAAATCGCAATACAATCAATAGGCTTCCTCAAAACACTTCAGACTTTGTCTTATTGATACTTTATTGACACCCCCGCCTATAATTTTCCAACTGAAATTCTTTCTCTTCTTGTAATTATCATTCGGTGTAAATAAACAAAGTTACTTTTGAAAATGATAGAGATGATAACTATTATTGTTCTAATTTTCAGGTCTAAATTCTGGACCATACAATTTATTCTCTATCTGCCCCTCATTTTTATGTTTTTACTAAGATTTCTCTTAGTAAAAACATAAAGGTCTTGCCCACAACTTGAAATCTTACCTCTCATATCAGAATTTCTCTTTCTCTCTGACATCTACTTAGCACTAAAACTCAAATCCTGTTAGCACAGAGCACACAGCCACTTCAAATTGAAGTCTTTTGCTTAGCTGTGTTCTTCGCTTTCCCTTATAATTTCACGTATAACTGTCTATCAACTGCTCCAAAGCAAAATCTCAACATAACTGACAGGCTTAGTCAGAACTGCACTGTCCTCCCATCATACTCTACAGTAGATGAAACCTTGTCATTTTTATTCTTTTACAAAAAGGTAGCATATGTCACTTTGTAGGGTTAACACTAGCTAACACTTTTCCTAAATAGTAAATTTTCAGGTAATTTCAGTAGATTCCAATGTGCTCTTCCTGCCTGCATTGCCCGTCTCTAAACAGTTTTACGCTGTGTGGAAGGAGACCATAGTATCCACACATGCATATTCTCATCACTGACCAAAATTTTATAAGCAAATACACTCTCAGTATTCTGAGTTTTTTATGCGGTGTAATTTTACACAGAAAAGCTAGTCTGTAAACATGAAAATAAGTTTTAAAGGGTTTGATCGAATTTTCGAATTGCTTGAGCTTGCATTTGTAATTATTGGCCAAGAAAGGGGCACTACTAAAATTTAATAAGAAATTAAAATTATTCTACTTTTACGTTTTTAAAAACATGTAAAATGTTATTATCTGAATTTGAATGAGGTATTCTATATTACATTTCCTTTGAACATCCATTGTTTTCAGTTTGATCATTATTTTCTGAATGAGTGAAATATATTATGATTAGTAACATCCAAGAGTTATGGTATTCATGTTCTCTTTATCCTTTCTATCTATTAAAATGTGTAAAAATAACTTTTTACACAAATTATTGTAATATGCACACATAACAATTGTTAGAAATTTAAGAACACTACTTGTAGGTTATTTATTGTGTGTTATTTTAAGCTACTGCTGAAGAAACAATATTTTATGGGTATTTCTTCACATGCTAGCTATATTAGAAACCATTCCCACTCAAGAAGTATATCAGAATATAACTTATGTAAACTAAGGCTTTGGGTGAAACTTCATTTTTTATTGGTCAAGTTTCTGCAGGGTCTCTCATTACCTGGTAAAACTAATTGTGATGGTCCATGAGTGACAGCAATTGCTTATACTCATTTTTCCCATGGTCACAAGGGTTATTGCATGAAAGTGTTAGCGCTAACGCTTTCCCAGTTCTACACGGTAGGTGGTCCTCTGCATACAGAATGATTATTAGACATCTTTGCATGAGAACAGTTTCTATGCTTTTGCAGCCAAGCGTCTTTTTACCCTGAGTATTCATTTATTTCTAATACATTATTGAGCCATTCAGAATGCACCTTTTTCTTCTCTACCTAGAGAAGCATAGACCACCACAGCTGAGACTCACGTCTGATTCAGTCATCTGCTTACTGTGCACATGTTTATGATATTTCTGTTTTTTAAAAACTCATCAATGACACAAACTATTTAAATCTAGAAATAACAGACTTCTAAAATTTATTCTTGAAACAAATGAAATTTTTTTTCTGAAATTTCAACTATTCTACTAAGTTATATGGGCAGATTCCACAAACCAAACTGATACTGCATTCTGAGGACAGCATTTTTCTTCCCTAAAACAATATCCTACATTTGGTTTACATCTAGCTCTACTAGGAAAGGTAAGAGGGTGACTTGGAAGTTTTTAAAAGTTCAGTTCACATTTCTCCTGAAATCCTCACAAATAAGGTTATAATCTTAGTGTCAAAGTGGTTTTGCTGTGTGTAGTTCTTGTAAGATGCGCTCGATAGACTTCTTTTCCTTAATAGACGGCCACATCTGTTTCTCTCCTATGGAGAAATTCTCATGCGTCTCCTAGATTTGAAAGGCTCATTAATTCTGCTTGCTTGCTTGTGTTTTCTTTCTTTCTTTCTTTCTTTCTTTCTTTCTTTCTTTCTTTCTTTCTTTCTTTCTTTCTTTCTCTCTCTCTCTCTCTCTCTCTCTCTCTCTCTCTCTCTTTCTTTCTTTCTTTCTTCTTTTTCTTTCTTTGCTGGTCTGTCTATTCATACTTTCTTGGAGTAGACATAAAGCAAAACCACTACTACAATCCCTTTACTATTTTCTATTCCATCACAAAATCTTCTTTTTGTTCTTTTTGTCTTCTGTTACATAAGTTTTCTTTGTGTATTAAATTTTGCACCTTTCAATCACCTGTCCTAGTGGCCACTCATGAAATCAGGGTTGTATAATATTTACCTTTCTGTTACAACACAACACCAACACAACCTGTCCTAGACAGTAATTTAATTGATTATTGTCAAATATTATGGTATATTTTCATTGGAAAACACCATCAAAAGTCTTTGTACACTATTTTACACAATGTATACTATTTTATTTTACTGTGAAAGTCATTAATTTTCTAGAATTAAGACTAGTGCCCATGTCACAAAATGAAATACAGCAAGTTTTAAAGTATCAAGCCAATTCTACACAATGATATACATTTTCAAAGGTTCTGAAAGTATTTAGCAGTTTTTTTCATAGCTTAAAAAGTTTTGGCCTACTTCTTCACATATCATTAACAAATTTATTTTCCCTAAATATGATCATTCATACTAAAAATGGAAATCAGTTTTCTGCTCTAAATTTGACTTCATATTTCAAAACAGAGGTTTTAGTGTAAATCACAATATTCTTCATATTGATGATTATCATATTGTTATATTTATAATGTAACCCAGAGAGATGCACAGGTGGTTTTGCTTGACAAAGTGACATACTACTTGTTAGGACAGTCTCAGAGGAAAAGTATTCCATGGTGTCTATGGTTCAAGTTTCACAGACTCTTTGCCTGTCGTCCTTAGCCATACTTCATAAATTCACTTTTAAAATAAGGATTGGGATCAGTTTTTCTCTTTTAACTGTCATTTTCTTTGTTCAAGCCCCGGTGTAGCAGACTGATGTGTTATGTCTTTTCAGTGAGTCCAACAAACCTGTCCCAGTTCAATCTTCCCGGCCCCACCATGATGCGCTCCAACAGCATCCCTGCCCAAGACTCTTCCTTTGATCTCTATGATGATGCACAGCTTTGTGGAAGTGCCACGTCTCTGGAGGAGAGACCCCGGGCCATCAGTCACTCAGGCTCATTCAGGGACAGCATGGAAGAAGGTATGCATGAGCAGCAGCAGGGTGGAGGTGATTTTATTTAACTCATAAAAGTGAAACTATCCAATCATGGAATAAAGATTACTGAAGAAGAAATAAATGAATAAATATAATTCTTATTTGGAGATCCCTTAAGCAGGAAAGCATTAGGAAATATCCCAGAATTTGTATAGATTAATGCTGATTTTAGAACAGTAAACAGAAAATAAAACCAATCTTCTTCTTATTTGATTTATTTATTTATTTATTGCAGAACCGGGTATTGAACTCAGGCGCTTGCACTTGCCAGGCAAGCACTTATTGTACTGAGTCATCTCCCCGGTCCCAAAACCAATCTTCTAATATAGAAATGCACAGAATTTTTGAGACTTCCCAGGCATGTCAAATATTTAGTAGATGGTTTGTTTGGTATCTCAGTGAAAGGACCACAAAGACACACGCGAAAAGCTGTCTTATGAAACTTACATCTTGCTGATTTGTATTCCTAAAAACTCCCCCTGGTGTTAGTTTCTCATGTAATTTTAGAACTTACCTTGTACCTACATTTTATGCCATAAGTCATTTTTTTGTCCGTTGACAAAAAAATTTTCATCTGATTTAATAAATATCTTTAACATTGTGCAGGCCTATGTGAATATATTCAATAAATCTATTTTTAAAACTCAGTAGGCTTAATAGTCACATGTACGTAAGTTTTCTAAGCTATATATCTTCAAATACCTCTAATATCAGAATTGTTAATAATGAGACATTTTAAAAATTTCATGAGTGATTTTTATTTATTATTCATAAAGGAAACAAGTGATATACATATTACAAAACATATCAACTAGGACTAAAATGAAACCAAACAGAAATCCAGACTCATTATAATAAAATCAAAGATTAAAACAGCTACACTTTCATAGACAATCTTGGAACTTACCAAGATTAAAGCCTCCAGTCGTGCATTTATTGCAGGATAAATTGAAGCAAGCTTTGTTCTTTCTCCTTTCTCCTACCTTCTTATTTAAAATATTTTCTGACTAAAAGTTTAGGAAGCTATGAAAATTGACTCATGTTTTTTAGGTCACCAATATGCATTTAACATGCTGGCACTAAGTCAGGTGGCAACAGTTGCCTCCACCTTTTGGGATAGGAACCAAGCCATTGAGTTCACTGTGGCAGATAGTAAGTAGATTATACCCTGTGAATCACCTGAGCCAGCTGAGTAGCAGAGAAAATGTAACTAAGGCGAAAGGTAAGATCACTGCTTCTTTGTCATTCTCTCGCACACAGGCCTCCTGTAGTATTTTATTTTATACTGTAGAGATAATAAGACGATAGGAAATGAGCAATGGTTATAATTCATATTATTACCTTCAAACAAGTTGCCCAGGTTACCAGGTGCAGGCATGTGAAATTGGTCAAACAATACAAACACTAACTCTTCCTTTCAATGAACTAATAGAAATTAGTAGTACAATTATCTTAGCTACCTCGTATATACATATATACCTCTTCCTTCCTTCTTGTCTCCTTTCCCCCAGTTCTTTCCTTTTGAGCAGTTTCTTTCCTGCTCACTGTATCTGTCATACCTTTTGTATCTTACTTACTTTTTCAGTTTCCTATACTAGGGGGACAATATGGTGTTCATACATGTGAGTTTGATTTATTTAATTTATAAGTGTGGTCTCTAGTTGCGTCCATTTACCTATACAAGTCCTGAGTGTATCTTTCTTCATAGCTGAGTAGTACTCCATTGTATAAAAATACTACTTCTTTTTATCCATTCCTTTATTGATGGGCATTTTGGTTGTTCCCAAGGTATAAAAAATAGTGCTGCTACAGACATGGATGCATATATAACACTGAAAAATAGGAATACCCACTTCTCAGATGAAGAAATACAAGTGGAGAATAAACACATGAAAAAATGTTGAACATCATTGATCATTTGAGAAATACAAATTAACACAACATGGAGATTCCTTCACACTCCAGAAAGAATGGTGCTCCATCAAAATCAACCAATAAAAAGATGCTAATGGGGCTGTGGGGAAAAAGCTAATTTACAAACTATAGTCACTAATTTATAAACTGAATGATACCTGTGTGCTTGAAGGTCTAGCATTCTACCAGATGAGTAATAATCTGGACTGCAGAATTCCAGCCTAAGTAGGTAAATTGAGTTCTTACTAATTCTGCACTGAATGTTGAACTACTATTATTTCTTAAATTGTGATCTCGATCTTAAATTTCTAAAGCAATTAATTTTGCATTTAAAAATGTAAAGCATTACTGAACTATAATCAAAGGACTTTATTAATAATTTGTCCAACAGTCTCACTCACAAAGGAAGTGCCTAAGCCACAAACTCTGTCATAGGCATATAAAATAGTGGCAGATTAAGAATGAATGTAAAACCTTCTGATTCATTGTCTGTGTTCTCTCTCATACACCAGGGTAGCACCATAGTTCATCTAAGAGCTATTAGCTGTTAAATTAATATGCCCTTGGTAGATGGACTCAAAGACTAACACATGTTTCATAGAGTGGTAGTATTCATGCAAGTTAGAGATCTGGAGGTTGTTCTCTGGGCCTCTGTTAACCTCATGTAGGTATATCCTCACTTCTAATAGGTTCTTGGTGTCTTAAATTAATCTTATTTTTTTTCTGCTTTTCCAGTCCATTTGAGGCAAAGCGATGAGCACCTCTCTTGTTTTCTTATGTCATCTAATACTCATTTGCATTTGTATTACTGTGTTGTAATTATCTTTTTAATTATATGATCATTCAGCTAATATTTATTTAAAGCATACATTTAAAAATAACTTTTATTCCAAAATGAAAGGAGTTTTTGACAGCTATAATAAAAAACAATGTTATCCTTCTTTAGTATTTAATGTATTCCAAATATAGTACTCAAATATAAAAATGGGCACTTAGGGATTTAACTGTTTTTTGTTTTTTTTTTTTTCTTTTCTTTTTTTCTTTCTTTTTGTAGTGGGAATTGAACTCAGGACCTTGTTCTTACCAGGCAGGCTCTGTGCTGCTGAGGTATATCCCAGCCATAAATGAAAGACAGAAATTTCTATTCTCATTTTTTTTTTTTTGTGAGATACCATTTTGAAATAAGAAGTATTTTTGTATCATGATGATTTATAAATAAATTAAGTTTGAATGTAAAAGGACACAACCAACTCTATTTTTTCTTGTCTTTTTACGTCAGGGTTTCACTGTGTAGTTCAGGCATGGCTCAAAGTTACTTTGTAGCCCAGGTTGCCCTGGAACCCACAGGGATCTTCCTGGCTCAGCCTCCTGAATGCTGGAACTATTTATATGTGGTCAGCTCAAATAATGTTTAAATAGCAGGGTGAATAAAATGTTTATTTCCTTGAATTATATACAGAAACAAATTCTGAAAATATATCTTCATTGCATAAAGTGAAATCAAATAATATGATACATAGGCTTCTCTTAAGTTGAAAAATTTGCAAGACCTTTTCATGTCTTAACATAATCTTTGAAAAATGTATAGCAAAGTCATTCTCCAAATATTCTAACTGGGTCATCATTTTATTTCCCTCACCACCCGTCCCTTCCTTTTCCAGTGAAGGTCTAAGGTGTTCGGGTAGATTTCATTACCTGAATTCTATTGTAATTCCTCTTTTCTCTTTTCCCAGTTCATGGCTCCTCGCTGTCCTTGGTGTCTAGCACTTCCTCGCTTTACTCCACAGTAAGTACTGGCTGCTAAGGAAAAGCTTCATCCTGCACCAGGATCTACATTTACACAGATCTACCTTCATTACTACACAGTAACTGCGGATCTACATTTACTGTGTAGTAAATGAAGGGCATGGTCACAGCTACTGGGCACCTAGAAGCTGGCAGGTGCTCTTCCAGCCCTTTCAGAATCCATTTCTGTGTGGTTTCGCTTGATTTCTGTAAACTTACTGCAAACAGTGAGTGTGGGCAACACTAAATCTCATTGAATTTATGAGGCTATGGGCTCCCTGGGACCATGCACCTAGTTCTACTGTAATTTCATCATGTTGGTCCCCTTGTTTGCTTCTTTGACCGATAGCTATTAATTACTCTCACAATATTTCCCCTCTTATTTTGTATTTCTAAAGTTATTTCCTGAGAATATGGTCTCCAACTGTAAAAATCTAGAAGAAAATGCCTGTTTTTAAAAGCCAATCTTTGAGTTTAATTTAAAATATTTTATTTCTCAGGAGTAACAGTGTTTCAACTTCTTTTCCTAGTGGGTAAAATTATAGCTTTTTTTTTTTTTTTTGCCAAGATGAGTTTTTTGTTCATTAACTATAATTTCATTTTTTCCCCTGTATTTTAGGGAAGGGTTTACAGGGTGTTCAGGATCTCACTACTAGATTGGACTCATAGTGATTCTCCTGTTTACAGCCACCCAAAAGCTGGGGTTACAGGTGCACACCACCACTCCCAGTCTCAATTGTCATCTTAGGGTGCCCCGGGGGTGGAGCCAGCACAGCAGGCCCAGGGATCAAACCCCCAGCTCCTGCGCTTTCTTGCAGGTGCTTTAGTCTACTGAGCTGTTTGGCAGTGCCTCATTCTTTTCTTAAAGGCTGTAGGAATGGATGCTCAATAAGAAGCATCCTTCATGCCTTGGTAGCAGTGAAGTACACTTAAGGCTGTTTACTGAATTTCAGTGAGTCCTGAGTACATGAATAATTCCTCATCCCATATTGAGAGATTTGTGAAAAGTTCACAACCTTCACCTGCCACTGGGCAATGAAGCATTAGGGACAATATTAATTTTTTTTCTACTTCTTTCCATTACTTTTAAATGTTACAGCCATTTGCTTATATGTTAGTCATACACATCTATCGTCATACATAGAGCATTCAGATGAAATTGTCATTGCAGATTCAATATTGCTATTTCTCCTTTTTGCATTTAAAATTACTAGTATGTTTGCGAATTAAGAGAACACTATTAGAGCTCAGATGGATTTACTCCTTAAAGCTAATGAGACAGAAGGAGTATGAAAATCTGCTGAAAGGACACAACAGAAGTGTTAGAGTTCCATGTTCTGCTGTGTCAGCATTGGCTCTTATTGAAGAGTTGCATTCTATAATTTAACTTTCTACAGAAAAGATAGCTATGAAATATCATAAGAATATTTTAGTAGTATGATAACATTTGAATAAAGCTTCCATATGAATCCCAAGGAAGTCTCATGAAAATAAAAGGGACAATTTTGAGCAAAACAAATGAAAGAGTATTAGAGCAAGGTCTCGTTGACATTTCTTTGATAATTAAAATGTTCCAGTACAAATCAGCAGTCTATTGAAAAGGACAATTTGTGCTTAACTGTTTTTATATTCTTTTTAATTTTTGACCAATTTTACATGCTTATATCTGGTAATCTGAACAACTAATTTGAAGAAAACAATATGTAATTAATAACTATTGTTGATATCCTACTGTTTTGTTTAGTGAAATTGTGTATCATTTCTATTGTACTTTTTAAATATTTTTTTATTATTTTTAAAAAATAACAAAATGCAAAAAATGTTCCATATCTGTACTAGCTCTTACAGTAACTGATGGCCACAGATTGCAAATGATTATTGCAAATATTTCTCCTGTGGTAGAGTAAATAAAGTTTATTTTAATTTGCCTAAATTTATAGTGCTGGTTTATAGGGGAAAGAAAAGTACATGTAAAAATTTTATAGAAGGATAGATAAAGGATTGAAAAGTTCACACTGTACCCATGCAGGAAAATATCACTCTGAAGCTCATTAATATATACAGTTGCTGCATGTTAATCAAAAAGTAGACAGAGGGCCAGACAAATAGCTCAGCAGATTGAAGTGCCTGCAAGCAGACTCAGGGGCCAGGAGTTCGATCCCCAGGACTGCTGTGCTGGCTCTGCCCCCTGGGGCATGCTGAGCTGGCAGTTGAGATGGCATGGTGGCACGTGCCTGTAATCCCAGCTCCTGGGAGGCTATAAATAAGAGGATCACTATGAATCCAATCTAGTAGTGGGACCCTGAACACCCTCTAGACCCTCCACTAAAATTACCAAAAAGCAAAAGTAGACACAATAACAGGTATCGTGGCACATGCCTGTATACCAGCAGGTAGGATGCTCCGATCAAACAAAACTGCATAGTGAGATCCTTTCTCAAAAACCAAAAGCAAAAACAATAAAATAATTCTTTAACTGTAGAAAAAGAGAAGTGGGGTGTCCAAACAATAAAGGTAATTAGAAATCATAAAGAAATACTGTTTTAACTATCATATGAAAAAATTAAGAAGAATAAATGCATATCAGTATAGCCAGCAATTATAACTGCAGCACTTGGCAGTCCCTCTGAGATGGAGCCTTCCGTGTCTTCAACCCTGGAGGTGTTGGCACCGTTTTCAAGGAAGCCACAATTGCTGTCTCTCCTCCTCCTCCTCTTCTCCTGACAGTAAAGCTACATTTGAGTAAACTGTCAATTTTATGTTGCTTTTCTAATAAACAAATGTCCCTTAATATTATATATATATATATATATATATTTTTTTTTTTTTGCTTCTTTTCCATCCTTTTTTGCTTTGTTTGTGTTTTGAGGCAGGGTTTCACGGTGCTGTGCAGTTTGGGCTTGTACTCACTGTGCAGCCCAGGCTGGTCTCAAATGCCCAGTGATCTTCCTGCCTTAACTTTCCCAGTGGAGGCATTACAGGCGTGCAGCACCACACCTGGGCCTTAAGAAATATTCTTAAACCAGAAATATAATAGGCCTAAGAGTATCAAGAGTGCCTTTATTAAATCTAGAAATATCTAAGACATACTATTAAAAACTGTGCATGTTTTTGTTAATACCTAGACCATTTTCATTCTGTATAAGTCTGATTCTGCTAGTTATTCACATCATACAATAGTTGTTTTTTCCATTGGCTGTATTTCTCTTGGACTCATTCCTATACGTATAATATGATAGTGATTTATATTGAATACCTGAGAATAAATAGCATGATGGATTGATTATATACGCCTTATACATTTTGTTTAACATGGCTAATGCTAGGGGCCAGCGAGATAGCTCAGTGGTCTAAAGCACCTGCTTAGGCAAGGTTAGGCAACAGCGCAGGGGCCACGGTTTAATCCCCAGCACCCTGTACTGCGCTGGCCCTGCCCCCAGGGCAGGCTGCACCAGCCACACACACACACACCAAAGACAATGCCAAATAAATGATTTGAATGATAAATAAATAAACATTTAATGACTTATAGAATAAAGAAGCAACTGATATAACTTTTTAAGGAAGTGTGTTTTATGTTGTTTGCCACCTTGCAGGATATTGGTATTGATTGAAATACAACATTAAAATGACAGTAATCAAATTCTATGACAGTATCTTTCACCGCATGCCTAAGCTACTGAAAAGAAATATGATAAGATTTGGACTTAGTGCTTCAACTTTGTAGTACACATGTCCAATATTGATAACTAGTACACAGAATGGACAAAGATGAGAATTTTTAATTAATTTTTGATAGTTTTAAAATCAGGTGTGAGAAAGAAATATATAATTAATATTAATAT